TTTTATTTATGTGTTTTTATGAAACGTAAAAAATACAATGAAAATTAATTATAAAACTAATTACAAAATAACTTGAGTGCCGTACGTGACAGTAAGCTGTACAAATAAATGTAGCCGGGTGTATTTACAATATACAATTAATTTAATTGTTCCAGCAACTTTTTGTATGCGTTTTTTATGGCATTAAAATTTATTAAAATTGTATAATTAAAATGTGCAACGGAATGCTACAAGCAGAAAGAGACAGCTTCGAATAGATAAGATATATATCTATATTCTTGATCATCATCAAGTATCGAGCAGATTTCAGAGACTGTCGAAACAAGAAAATTCACATTTATTTTTATCCTGATTTTTTCAATTTTATCGATAACTGCAACTGTTTTCATGACAAATCGGGTTCCGATAGCAATAAATGGCACAATTGAAAATAAATGTGTTTCTTAGTTTGACATCATCTGTAAACATTTCATCAAAATCTGTGAGGAAACTGAGAAACTGAGAAATCGGATATTTCTATCAATCAATTCCACAATATGTCTTGAATTGAGGGTATCTGCTCGTCGAGCTCGGTCGCGTCTGAAGCAGGCTTAACTATTTAATACGGTTATCTGGCACACGCATACAGAGATAAATGTGTGACGGAAACAAAATGATATGTCAAACTTTTGCTACATAAATAATATCATTCCGAATATGCAATTGCAATTGCATTTTTGTTTCCGTAATTGCCTCAATAAACGTAATCGTAACGCGTTTAAGAGGCACACACACACACACACACGCACATATACGAGAGCTGCGGCTGGACAGATAGTTGATTGAACTGTAGCTGGCATACAATTGTGTCGTCGTTGTTGTTGTTGTTGTTGCTGCTACTCTTTTATTTGTAATTGCTGTTGTTCTTTGCCTTGTTTGGCATTAATGCGAGTGTTGGCACTTTCGCTACCGCCTCTCCTTCTATCCTGCCTCCTCCATCCACAGATACCATTTCCCGTTGTTCGGCATCATTGTGTAAAAAGTTTGCTGGTAAACGTAAACACATTCATAAAGCAAATATGCAGGCAGAGCAGAGCAGAGCTGAGCAAAGCAATCCTCCAGTAAGAACAACTACAACAATCTCTGCCAGCGTCGCTGTCGACACGAACATATGCTAAACGCCAGCAGCGGCCGGAGCCGAACGCCAGTCGAAACGCAAAGCGAGCCGAGTCGCAGGCCCGAGTCCTGTATCCCGATTAAAGATAGAGCCGAGCAGTGAGTCCGTCGGCTCGTCGGCTCGTCTGTTGGCTATAAAAGCCGCGTGCAGTTCTATGCTGTTCAGCATTCTACGTGCGGCTAGCGTGTAGAGGGCACACATATAAAGAGAGAGCGACAGCTAAAGCGTTTGTTTTTTTTTCCCAAGTCGTGTGTGTCTCGTTAAGTAAAAGCGCGCGCAAAAGCATAGCTTAAAAACGGTACAAATCGCACGCACGCAAAACGCGTAGCGAACACAGTCAACTTTGTGATACGCAAAAGAAACAAAACGGCTGAAGAATAGAGAGAGACAAAGACAGAGAGAGAGTGTGTGTGTGTGAGAGAGAGAGAGAGAGAGAGAGGACGTCGCGCGCGCGAATTGAGCATTGTTTACTTTGCCATTATAAATCCGGCAATTGTGCGCTTTGTTTGTGTTTGTGTTGATGTTGAAATTTTTGTTTCTATTTATCTGTGTGTCTGTGTGTCTGTCTGTCTGTCTGTCCGTTGCCGGTTGTTCCTTTCTTTTTTTCTCTCTCTGTTTTTTTTGTTGATTTTTTTATTGTTGTTGTTGTTTGTTGCAAGTGTTGTGCAAAGTGCATGGCAAAGGCCAAAAATAGCAAACGGAAGAGCAAAACGGATGTGGAAAGTGTTGCATTTCGCTGTCGTCGTGCAGATTCCTTTATTATTGTTGCTGTTATTCCTGTGGTTGGTGTCGCTGTTGTTGTTGTTACCTTCAACGGTAGTTTTGCTGGTCATCTTTGTGGCAGTCATAAATTGACTGCAGCAGGTGCTGGCGACGGCAACGGCAACGGCGACGACGACGAGGACGACGTCGACGACGGAAAGTCGCATCCTCAGTTTCGACAGTTGGCCATAAACAAATTCTCGGCCAATATCCGCTGACCTTTAAAACGGGGGCCAACAAAAAAAGCGATGCAAATTGCATCGTAAAAATCATTTAATTGTTGATTTACGGCCTTGTCGTGATATCAATATAAAAATACGTGGCACAATCGAGCTACGACAACAATGCGTCCACCTGCGAACTTAAATATATATATTGTTGTATATTGTTCTGAGTAGCTTATTCTATAAATTATAATTGCTATAGTTAAAGATTTCAATTCAAAAATTGGAAAAATGTAATTATTTTTTGCTTGAGATGTTTTGAAGAGAGCATAGAGAAAAAATAAAAGCAAATCCAAACTACATCGGAGATTGAATACCCCTTTTATATGCAAAGAAATTTTTTTTTAAATTATCCAGTTGTTCCTATGAGTTAAATTGATGAAGAAAACAGCATTTCGAACTCATCTTTTGACTAATTTTTCTGATGACAGATTAGATAGCTATACATATATGATATAGCTATCTAATCTGCCCAACTTCGACTTCGTTAATATAGTTTCAAACGGAGGACAGACGGACAGATCCCTATATCTACTCAGCTTAAAAAAATACGGATTTTTAATTAAGTAAAAAATTGATGTTTAATTAAAAATCATATTAAACCTATTTTAAAATTTGAATAAAATATGTGACATCAGTAGAAGTTTTGTGTATGACTCTATTTGGTTTAACGATCTCTAGTTTTATTAAAATTATTCAAAATGAAGGAAGAAGTTTATATAGTTCGAGTTTTATTAAAATAATCGAAAAATTCGTTTAAAATATGTGAAATTTGCGAACAAATCAGTTTAAAGTATAAAAGATTTATGGCAATTTTGTTTTTGTTCCATTTTTTGTTATGTGCTCATAACTATCTTGAAGCTGAAAAGTGAAACAAGAAATGTGATTTCAAGTGCGGCTCCGATTTTTAAGGTATACGAGTATATAAAATTAAGTGTTAACCAAAAAAGTAAGAATATTTGATTTTTATATGTATACAATTATTTTGTATTTAAAAAAGAAGAACAATTGATTTTTAAATGATAATTAAGAATTAAGAGTTTTTAAAATAAGAAGAACATTTTTAATTGCTTACAAAAATAAAATGCGATTTTAGTTTGACTTTTTGATAAATTAATGATTTTTAAATTGGTTTTTTGGTTTTTCAAATTGCAGAATAATACAAAATAAAAATTTTTTGCCAATTGCTAAAGTTTCGATGAAAACATTTGCCTTTTAATTGCATGAAGCATTAGATAGATACTTGACTTAGAGGCATTTTCGCTATCGCAATTGAACTTGAGCCGTGTCTCGAGTGTCTGAACTTGTAAAATTTCGCATTTTCCGCATTTGGCATCTCAAAAAAAAAAAAAAAAAAGAAAAGAGAAGTAAATGGAAATTGCATTCACAGCCAACACCACGCACAGAAAGTTTGCCAAGTTTTGCTTCAAATTTAAGTACTTGAGAAAGTATTTCGTTTAGCGGCGTCTTCTTCACACAAACAAACACAAAAGTTGGCTCAAAACAAAAACCTTCAGAAATTGCATTTTAATTTGCTTTCAAATTTGCTTATCAACCACAACCACAAACAACCAAAAAAAATAAATATATAAAAATATATGTATAATGCCAGGTGGCCTGACACTAATCGCTTAGCCAAAGTAATCAAAATTAGGATTGGTAAAAGAGAATGGAGAAAATCATAGAGAAACTCGACGTATTTGCTTGCAAGTGTATTTATTATATTTAGTTTTTATTGTTTATATTTTATTTATTTAATTTTATTTGTTAAAATGGCCATTATGAAGTCTCAATAATGTTTCTGATAGTCTCAGAGATTTTAGATATTATATATACACACATATATATATATATATATATATATATATGTATATATATATATTTATTAGTATATTTGTCTTTTTTTTTAAGTCTATAAATTAGAAAGTATATAATAATAATAAACAAGATTTCTAAATTTCACAATAAATTTGGTTTTCCCTTTGGCAGCCATTGGATATAGTGATCCGATCAGGCTGACTCTGACATATACGCGGATATTAGCCAAGTTGAATCAGGAAAGCTGCAAAATTGAGGGACTAGTTTGCATAAAAACAGACTATTTTTAGATATAGGCACCTGTATAACAACCGTATAACGGGTTAATTGTATTTGTTTTGGGTCCTTTCGGTCCATCACACATTCAAAATGCACCACAGAGCGACTGACAAGCTGACTGATTGACTGACTAATTGACTGATTGATTGGCTGACTGACTGACAGACTGATGGAAAATGTGTGTCAATTGAATGACAGCGAGAGACTGCGATAGAGAAGGATATATTTCGATAGAGTGCGACGATGGTTGCTGGTCATTAAATGAGTTTCGATTCGCTGCACTATGTATATATATTTATATATATATATATGGATATATAAAGGAATTTTTGTTAAATTTTTAAAGTCGTTCAATGCAAATGGCGAGTTTTAAGGCAATAAAAGATATTTTTATGCATGAGAAACAAGTCGTTAAATTGCGTGCACTGCAAAGTATGCAACATTAAATTGTTGCCAAAAGACAACTAACTTTAAAATCTAACAAGCAGCAGCAACAACAACAACAGCAATAAAATAAGAAATAACAGCTTACAGTTAAAAGATAATAAACCGGCGCTTTAAACCGTTAAACGATAAGCCGTTGAGTCCAAAAAAAAAGACAAAACAAAACAACAAAAAGAAAAGAGAAAGAAGAGAAAATGCCGGAGCTGAAAATCTGTAATCATCCGCCAGGCAAACGCCAAATGGCTGACGTCGACCAGCAACAAGAACAACGACGACGCCAACAACAACATAGGGAGAAGAAGAAGAAACAGCAGCAGGAGAAGCAACAGCAGCAGCAGTCGCAGTCGCAGCAACAACAACTACATAAACAACAAGCACCAATCGAAGCATTTACATCAAGGCAGCTGGTGCCTGTTAATGCAATGTTATTGCTGCTGCTGCTGACGATGCTGATGCGTCCGCGGATCGCCTATGCAAATCGTAAGTACAAGCGACAATGCCTCCAAATGCCAGACATTAAGAGAACACAAAGAGAAAGCTCAGAGAGCTCGCCTCTCTTCGTCTGCAACACCATACAGTGATGCCAATATTTGCTCGTAAATTTTTTACTTAACTCTACTTTATAGTTAGCTAGATCATAAGAGAGAGAGAGAGAGAGTGAGTGAAAGAGTAACTCTGCTGCTCATCTCCCAGAGCAAACAAAGCGTTGTCTGCTGCTCCTCTCTTTAACTGCAAGCTTAAGAGCGATATCCTTAAAGCGGAGCGCCAATTCAATACACAACTCTTTGATTGCAACATCCACAATGCGCTCGCTCTCTTTAAAGCACCGCCAGAGCGCAAACTTGAATTCAACTTTCTCTCTCTCTTTCTTGCAGTAATTAAACACTGCTTAGTCTCGAGGACGGTCGCTTGGCGAGCAATCCAAGCGTTGCTCTGTCGTTTTGCTTGCAAGTCATATTTTGCGCTCTTTCTTACACTTTACAATCTCTTTAAAGCAGAAGCCAAATGAATACACACAGCTTGCGCTCGCTCTTCAACTGGTGCATTGGGCGATCTCTTTAAAGCAGCGCCCGATCACAAGTTTGTATTGAACTCTCTGCTCTGTGCATTCATTCGTTCACTCATTTATAGCGACGTAGGCAGGCAAGAGTAACGCATACGCCGCATTTGACAATCTAATATGCAGAGGCATGCGTGTGGCATTAAGTTATCGCAACTCGATGGGTCTCTCTCTTTCTGTGTGTGTGTGTGTGTGAGTTGGTTTGGGTGTGGGTGCGTTTTCCTGTGTTTGTGACACGTTTGCTTGTTTGTTTGTATCTTTCTCATTCTTTTAACAAGCATTAAAAATACACTCCCACAGAGGCACACACAGAGGCACGCCCACACTCTGAAGGAGCTGAGCAAGCTGCAAGTAGTTGGCAGTTGGCTCCGGCTTGGTTCGCGACGCTTGCCAACAAAGACGCGTATTAAAAATCAATATAACCTACAAATGTGTCCTTCCTTCGCCTTCAAAAAGCAAGCAAAACCAAATCACTGCCAGGTGTGTGTCTGTGTGTGTGCGTGTGTGTGTGGATTATTTGGTCATAGATCTATATACACATGTGGCATTTGCACGAGCAACGTCAACAGCAACAGCAACAATTCCCATTTTCCAACAAGTTCAGTTCACAGTGCATCGTCGATTTATCGATAACTATGCACATATCAAGCTAAAGCGTCAACTTGATTGTTAATGTAAACACGTTGTATTATCGATAATATATCGATAGTACTCGATTGATAGCTGTGCTCGACAACTGTGATAATTCACAACTTTATATATTTATTATTATTTACACACAAAACAAACATGTCTTCTTAATCGATATTTTATCGATAACTACATGTGGCTTGCATGTAAACTAAACAAATATAATTCAACAAGTTTTCGAATATATTCAATGTATTCAAGCCATCAAAATTCATTGCTGATTTATTGATGGCATCCCGCCCTAAACTTGCCACGCACAAATCGACTGAATAATCTATATATATATCTATATATTATCGCTCCATATATATATATATATATTTACGCGACGCCATTAAAAAATTTAATAGTGTCGATGGCCGATTCTGGCCACCAGTTGAGAAAGAATTCGTCTGATTAGTGTCTACTCGTCGGTACTCCTTGAAGTATTTGTGGTATTTTTTGTATTTGTAGTTGTATCTGTCATGTCAGCCAAAGTGCTCTATACACACAATAAACATGGCCAAACTGTTCAACGTCTAAATCAAAATCACAAACGCTTCGTTGCTTTTCGCTTTTCGCTATTCGTTTTTGCTTTTGCTGTTGCTTTTGCCACTTTCACTTTTATTTGACTGTTTTAGTGGTTCATTTTCTTGTTCTTCTTTTTTCCTAGTATACCCTGAACACCCCTATTCGGGGTTCAGGGGTATAATAAAGTTGTGCTTGAGTATGTAAAAAGCAGAAGGAAGCATCTTCGTACCCATAAGGTATATATACTCTTGATCAGAAGTCGATTCGATGTTTGAACAAGCCTATATAACAGCTGGAGACTTCAAGTCATTTGAAATAAAAGTGTATTTCATTTTATCGATAATTATCGATACAAATCGATGTGTCGTTCACTTGATAAATCATCTACACTGACACATTATTGATTAACTGTACAAATTGCTTTAGGATTGGTTAAGAAACATTGATGTTGTTTACTTAAAGCCTAGTTTTAAGCCAAGCATGTTTCTCCTAGTCGAACTCTTTCGAGTCGAGCGTTTCAGCCTGCTTTTTCTTTGGCTTATACCCTTCATTCCATGAAACACATTTCGTTCATGCACTTATATATTTTCTAATGAAAAATCAATAAAAAATCAGAAACAATTGTAATTAAGCAGTTAGCTTTATCTTGTCTAAATTGAGACATCTTTATCTATTATCTGATTGATTGAGTTGGTATTCAGAGTTAAACCAGACAGTTTCTTGTGGTATCTTTGAGATGATTTGTGGGGTATAGTTAAGTCTTAATGGATGTCTATTTTGCATTCTGGTAACTTTGGAGTTTTGCATGGTATGGCGTGGTACTGGTAAGGTACTTGAAGGTACTTGACCACGTCAAGCCAGGAATTATATTTGAAGTCATTGCATTTGCTGTACAAATGTAAGTTTAATTTAATTACCAGTAACTTTTTCGAGTTTGGTAGAGGGGCATTTACAGTCACGTTATCTGAATTTACAATCGATACATATTGATTTTTAAAAAAATGCGCACAAAATCGATATTTATCGATTGTTGTTTAACACACAAAAATGGAAAAAACGTTGTTTTGACTCATAACAATTACATTCTAGCAATTAACTTGTTATAAAATGTATTCTTATTTATTAATTGTAGTTACAGGCCAACAGGGTATTCGTCTAGTCGGGCACGCTGTTCGTTGTTCTCTTATTAAGCTGCTTGCCAGCAAGTTGCTTTCTGTTGTCTGCGATTTTTCGCTGTGTGCATCGTCGATTGCCCTGGCTTAACTTGGCTTTTGTTTATTCTGGCTGTCTCCCCACACCAATACCCACACCCACACCCACACATACCCCCTCCCCTCTACCCACTCCACTGACTGGTTAGCTAGCTAGCTGTGGCGAGCTGTGTGTCTCTGTTTATATTTGAGGGGGGCGCGGCAAACAATTCAATTAATTGAGTTCACCCGCTGGTCATGTTAATATACCCATTTAGTTATATATGCAGATGTATATATATATATATATATATATATTTATAGCATAATATATTGTTAAGTGTCCTTACTGCGATTGGCCATTAAAAGTTGCACGAATGCATTTTAAATATCAATTAAAACACTCGTATTCTGTATTCTGTATTCAAATCAATAATTTTCAATTGTTGCAAGTATTTGATGGAAATTGGATGGGGGTGTGTGGGGGATGGGTATGGGGAGGGGGAGGGGGACAGCCAAGTATTTAAAATTATTGTGCGTGCTCCTCTAATTGAACCTGCTTGGTTTGAATTTCGTAATTATTAATTCAATTATCATTCATTTTGCTTATTTTTAACTCTTTTAAATGGAAATAATAAATAATAAAATAAATAATGGAACTTGTTTGACTGATGCTTGTTGAAAATGGCCCTCAATTTGGCAGTGGGCGCAACTTTGGCAGCCTGGCCAAGTCAACAGTTGCCTCTCTCTCAGCTGAAGCGCAGCGTTACTCTCCTTCCTGACTGCAACTGCAACTGTAACTGCAACTGCAACTGCAACTGCAACTGCAACTGGAGCTGGAGACACATTGGGCTTGGTCAAAGCGACGCGCAGCTTTGTTTTGCTGCCCCATTTGTTGTGCTCAGCGGCTGCTTCTTCCAGGGTGTATCCACACGAGCCTTGGTCATCAGCTTCACATCCTTCAGTTCTTTGGTGGTTATTTCACGAGCTAATCCCCGATTCTGCAGTTCGCAGAGTGGGCCCCGTTTTGTGGCTGCCTCGTTTGAAGACGTTTGAATTTTTCTCCTCTGAATTCTCGTCTACAATTAATGTTTGAAAGTTTTGCTTTATTTTTAACACAAATAAATATATTATACAAGATCGTTTTCGGAATGGGATTTCGTTATTTCCATATATAAATTGAGAGTTTTGATAATTGACTTGTTGTGGCTAGTTTACAGATTGCACAAATATAGCTTTAAAATTAATTTATCAACGATTACTGCTTGAGTCTATAGAAATCATATAAATCGAGTAAATCGAGTGAATTATGTTTAGTTATTTGAAAAATACAAATTATCAACTGGCTAATTTCAAATTAAACTACAATCGGAAGCACAACTGATATTCTATATTGGTCAAAACTTTCTAGCTGTGTTTTTAAGCCAATTTTTAGCCCCGTTTAACCGTTAGCCATTTTTAGTAAGTAGCAAATATTTTAAATTCCGTAAACGAAACCGGAACCCAAATTCATTTCGGCTTAAGACACATGTGCAGTTATGTATATATATATATATATTCTTGATATATATATATATATATGTATGTACTGTTATATAATGAGCTGGCATTGGGTCACCTTGTGCGTTGTGAGCCAAGTTAAAAGCTAACCCTCTTATTGGCCTCGTAGGCAGATGTGCTTCACTCATCATTCACTCATTCAGTCATTCACTCATTCAGTCATTCACTCATTCACTCATTCAGTCGATTTCCGCCACACGTTTTACATGTTTATTATACATTCTTTATACCTTAACGTTTTGCCACGCCTAACTACGCCCACCCATTCACCTGTGTTTTAGCTGCTGCCGTTTGTCGCTTGGTGTTGTTGTTGTTGTTGCTGCTGTTGTCGCTTGTTGCTGTGTTTATTTAATTCGCGTAAATTTGTATTAATTTTAATTGAAAGCTTTACGAGCGCGTTTAGCTGTCGAGTCAAGCTTTTTTGTGTCCAGCCTTTGTTTATGCTTTAGTTTTGTTCTCTTTCTTCTTCT